CTATATTATTATACTCAAGTAGTCATTACGGAACAAATGAAAGTTAAAATAATGAGATAAAAATCAAATACCGCAGTTTTTAATCTGTGAAATGTAAGTCAAATTTTACAAACAATTATAAGAGATAATTTTATAAATCTTAATGGATAAATGCTTTTAATTATTGATTTCAACATTAATTTGTTCAGTAATCATATATAAGTGGAAAAGAATAATGTCGTAAATTTTAAATGTTTAATAAGTAAGTAAACATAAGATTACCTTCAAAATAATTTTTGTTTTTTCTAATTAAAAATCTGAATAAATAAGATTAAAAATTTACTCTTATAATTTAAAAATAAATTGAAATTTGAAATAAAAATATTGATGTAGCAAAAAAAAAATCTATGAAACTATTTTTCTAGGGATATGCAATTTTTATGTTTTATTTGAAGTTTCTCTATGCAGTATTTTATAACGCTCCAAAGCATTTCAGTCATAAAAGATTATTTTGTTTATATTTTATTTTATTTTTTTCAATTTACTTTCTCTTGACGTCAATCCTTTTTCTTTCCATCCAATATTACTAAGTTTCGAATTTCGCAAAGAAACCGCAACTCTCTCTGGAGACAACTTCAAAACTCTTTCTAAACTTGAGCGCTGATCGATAGCACTTAAAATATATCGATGAAAAAAAAAATTCATCGAAGAATAACTCACCTCTTGTTGTCAGGATCAGGAAGATGAGCAGAGACCACGGCCGGTTCATAATCCTCGTCGGACAAAACTTAATTCTCTAACTTGCGAACCGCCGGGCACTGATGCGCTCGGTTCGGAGTTTCACTACTCACTGTTTCCGTGTTCGCATGACTTTTCAGCCTTCTCCCTTTCCTTCCCTAACTTTCGGGCAGACTTCACTGCCACCAAGCGGGACTATGTAGCACTTGGGGTACATGCGCGACTGCTTTTATAAACTATTGCGACGTTATTTATATCTTACATTGTATTCCCGATACCGTTAAAATGGAAAACATTAAAAATAAAAGAACAATTTTAAAAAAATCTGAAAAGTTTCAGATTTTATATTACGTCCAAAGAGGCTTTATTTTTAAAGTTTTGTTTGTTACATCTATTTATTAAATATTATATTCTTTGTACTTAAACCATAAAATTCAGTTCAATAACAATGTCGCAAAATAATTATAAAATGAGCATATCTTTAGAATTTTCGATATACAGTTCCGCGCGCTGGAGATAAAAAGGTTTTTTTTTATTATTATTTCCTTAAAGTGTTGCCATTGCTCGCTTTTAAATCGTTGAGTTTGTTAATCAAAAGTTCGTTAAAGTTTTACAATATATGAAATCAATTAATAAAACAAATTCCAAATTTCAAATTTGGGCTTTCCGATGCCCATATTCGCAGTGGGATTCGCAGTAGCAGATTTAAATCATTCAAATTTGGATGGCTGTAGGTACCGTTGTTTTATCACAATGTGATAAACATACATACATTTATGCAGATTCTTCATTATTTAATTTCTTCAAATATAATACAGGGCGATAATATTTGGTGGCAACGATTTGGAAAGTGGTACAGCCTTTTAAAGAACGAAGAAAGAAGTTATTAATAGTTACGTAAATATCAATTTTTATTGAAATTTGGACAACATGCGCTTTTAGTTCATTCACGTTAATTTGTACGTTCATTAAATATGCTCGAAACATAAGTTCTTAAACGACGAAAATTAATAACTTTTAAAATTATATAGTATACTTAGCGGTATACCCCTCCCTTCCGAGATGAGCTGGCTACGGCGAAAGCAATATTTATAAGTTCTGTGTACAGAAAAACTGAATATAAAATGAACTATTAATTTAATGTACTGTATACAAATTTGCCAGCTACAACCAAAGCAAAATTCATGAGTTCTACATACACCTGAAAAGAGAGTGCATAAAACCATTTTGTTATGGATGAAGTCAGTTCCTTCTTTCAAAGCAACAAACAATTCGTAAATAAATTTTGTTGTCAAACCAGAAACAAAACTTTGGGACACTTCAGGCTAATATATGAGTAAGTATGATGTCATGATTTAAATTTAACGTAAGGTAAGAACTCTTTGTCAAACTCAATAAAACAATTAACATGACAATAATATATCGTGTCAATTATACTAACCTGAAACAAAAATGTTGCCAACAGCAGCTGTTTATTTAAATTTATTACATTAACGAAAACTTTTCGACCTTCAATGACGTCTAATGAAATCGCGTGCTTTTTTCAACGTCAGAACGTGACCTTATATAATGCTGATGTTTGGCAATGCTATTTTTATTTCATATTTTGCAAAACCTACAAATTTTTTATTAAACAACTCTAAGATTTGAAAGCGAACATTGGTAACATTTTTCGAAATAAAGGAGATTTTTATCTCTAGCATGCGTTATGTTGCCTTTCGGAAAAATGAGGGTGAAAAATTAGCGTTTTCTGAGGTTTCAAGTAATATCTCGGCTGATTAAAGCCGTACAAAGACGAAAATGGCCAAAATGGCTTTCCACAAATTTTTGAAATCCGAAGGTTCCTCTCTCGAAACTCAACCCCCCGTCTTCCGGAGGAAATAATGCCACAAACAAAGAAACAAACAGACACATGCTCACAGATTTTAATAGTACAGATAGTATAACATATTATTAGAAGTTTTATAGAGGTATAATAGAATGTTGTCTTTATATCGATTTTTAATACAAAAATGCATGTTGTTTTCTTAACATTTTCTTAAGCACAGAAAGAAACTCCCCTCGAAGTAAAATTTTTCGAAATATTTATTGTTTTCAATTTGCAGATTTCGTGTACTGATTTTCCTGACAGATTAAAAAAAAATGTCACTTGAGGTAAATATGTATTAGAAGTCTAGAACACAGGCATCCAGTAAATGAAGTAAATGTAGAACATAAACGCTTGAAACTAATGTTATAGAATTAGTTATGTCTTGAATCATTAAGTATTTTCTTCATTAAGTAATTAGTCTCTGGTTGGGATTAATTTACTCTTAAATAATTTCACAGCAAACCTTTTTTTTCCTGTCATTTAGCTTTGAACAATTCGTTATTTTTTAAGAACAATAAATTAGTATTTGTTACTGTTCAAATAATAATTTAAAGAGCTTATTTTAAGAAGAATACTTTTACATTATATATCTTTAATTTATAAGAGGATTAAAATTTAGCCTGAATCAACTACTTATCTTAAAAGCATTTTGGGTTTACACTCAAATCTTTTAAATAAGATCAAATTGCAATTTAATGTTTTTTATTTTAAAAATTATTTATATACCGTTTTAAAATATTGAAGCTTTTATGATAAATTCTTCGCGGGATTAAATTGAAATCTAAATTTCTCATATCTCGCTTGTTTCAACTGAAATGAGAAGTAGAATAATAAATTCATATATCATTATACATTTGTAAGTCTCTCTGCACATCTGAAAATGTGCATACTTAAGATTACTTTTAATTCTAACCTAAGATGATGAAAAAGTAAACAACACGATTTTGAAAACTTTGTGCGCTAAGAACTGAAAAATGTACCTAAAATTTTAAAATATGTGACTCGAACTGTCAATGTAAAAGCACTCAGAAATTCTCCAAAATTATGTGCGATTCACTGCGAAAACATTCGTAAGTTCGCAAAGTGCTATTCGCTTTTAAATAATACAGAAACGTGTGAAATTAGATGCGCAAAATTTATGTTCGCAAACAAATGATAAAAATACATTAAAAATGAATGTATTATTATCATTCGGTTACTATACAACGCAGTCTAATTACAATTTTGCAAGCTATGCTGGTATTTTGCAAATGCGCTTTAACTTTCGAAAGCAACTTGAGAATGAATATTCAATAGTCGATTCACGTATGTTTGAAGTTATTTCTTAAGGATAAGTATAATTAAATGAACTTATAACGTATAGTTGTGCTTACAATTTATTTGTTTTTACAATGCGAAACATTTTTTCTTAAATAAAATTTTCAAAACTATCAAATATAAATGTGAGTTCAATGAACTTTCTATTGAACGACCGCTCACAGTTCCAGATGATGTTTTTTGGTCATCTATAGAAAGAAGAGCTGAGAAGACATGACCATCAATGATAATCCATACCTATGATCAGTTATGTTTTATTGGAAGTGGCTTTTGTTAAAAGTTTCACTGCATTACTCTCTAATTCAGCTTAGCATTTCTCTGGTGTTGATACGCTGAAGATTAGAAAACGAATAGGGCAAAGCTACTAAATACTAAAACTTACTTTTGATGTTTGAATACTAGAACTCACTTAAAGCGATTTTGTTTGTTCAACTAGGAAACTTCTTGAATAAAGCTAGTGGACACAAATAACTTTTCCCAAAATTGAGGTAGAAATTCTTGAATAAAAAATAATTTTCTAAAGTAACCTGGATGTGTTTAGTAGTTATCATATACCCAAGAATAGCCAGCTCTTGCAGGATATCAACAAACTGTAGCGTCTGTTGTTACGTGTATATCCAATGGGCCGTTGGACGTGTCGATAAAGCATTTATTTTTATTAACAATTTAAAAATCAGCATTAAAAGCTTTTTACCAATATTGTCGTTGCCAACATTACCTACACTGAAAAATCTTTACCAGTATTTCCAATAAATCTGCTTTTCGTTAAAAAGCGAAGTAAAATTATCTATACATATAACAGTATAGTTAGGGCTTTTCTATAAATTTAATACTTTTTAAATAAATGTAAACAGAATGCAACTTTTTATATAGTCCCCATAAAGAAAAATACCAATAAGTAAAATGCTCATTTAACTTGAATTATTTAAATACATAAGTAACATATCTTTATGTGCAAAATTCGCAGTGATATTACCATAACAAATTTATTACATTAAGCTGTTGCTAAGGAATCTCAACACGAGTTTACGAAATTTATTATACAATTACAAAACAAACGTTGCTGATTTTAAACGACTAATAATTCCATATTAGTCAAAAAACATATCCAGTGCCATACCTGATTAAGTAAGTAACAAGAAACTAATTAACATTAAATAATTTATTGTTAAAATGTATGTTTATTTTGTACTTCTTTATAAAGAAAATTTTATGTTTATATCATTGCATAATGAACATTTTACTAGTGATACAGTTTGATCTACAGGGATCATATTTAAATTACGTTTTACAGAATATTTTTCACTCGCACTTTAATGCTTCTTGAAGTAGAAAATGTTTTTCATAAAATGTTCTATATTATTTTCATATAATTTGTATCTGGAAGTATAAGCATTATACTTATACGCATATAAGTTTAGAAATCTCCTTGGCAATTATAAACTGTAACTAAACTTTCGATACCCTGGCAGCAAATTATCACTAAGTAACAACTGAAACTTAAGAAAGGTATAAATGACTCTTTATTAGAGAACTTGCACACATCTGCTCTTACACTTTAGAAATAAAGACTTTAAACGCTTTTTTGAAAAATCTCTGAAAATTGCATTACTAAATTTATAAATATTTTATATATAAGCAAGTTTACTTTTCAATACGAAATATGGGAGTTTTTTTTTATAACTTATATTTTTAATAAACAGATACAAAATTGTTTTCTACTTACGAAGAAAAATTCGATTTTTTGGTCTCAAAATAATTTATTATAGCGTATTATTCTAGTTTTCATCCTCGAAATGGGGATATAATTTCTTTCACATTTCGTCATAAAAGTTTTTAAATCAATTAAAAATTTTTATTTAATAAAATTTCTGCTAGAATTAAAGATATCATTCTTATGTTCGCTTCTGCTGTAATCATTAGCATATCGCTTTTTAACTTTATCGCATTAACGTTATCGCATATCGAGATTTTTAAGGTATTTCTCCCACCTTCTTGGCTAGCGTTCGCAGTAAGGTGGTCTGCACACTGGGCAGGTATTCCAGAAGTCCGTGGTTCGATTCCCGGCGAAGGCGCTTGCTTATTTTTCATCTTGCCTGCTTCGAAAAACAATAAAAAAATAAATAAATCTGAAAGCTTTCAGATTTATTTATTGCGGTTTTGAACTTGTTGGCATGTCGAGCCGGTGATTCGGATAACACTCTTTCAATCCTAAACCACAGCACATATTATTTCTGAGTATTTCTCGCCTCTAAATCCCTGTTAGTTTGTGTACAGAAATTTTTAAAACTTTTTAAAAACTTTGCAAGATCTAAATAGCAATTATCCTAAATAATTTTTCATGATAGGATTACAAAAACAGAACTATGCATTGAAATGATTATTATAACCAGCAACAAAGAGGGTGAAATGATAAAAATTAGGGAACGAGTCTACATTGGGGATAAAAGAAAAATGAATGGCGAATAAAAGCATTCAAACTTTTTTGTTTATCTAAAGCATAAACTTCATTTCCTCGTTTAAAAAAATATCTGGTATTGTGCAATGAATAATATTCTATGAGCTATTTTCTGATTACAATTGTTTCTTCAATTTCAATTGTACTAATGCCTTTTGTTCTCTGTTTTTTCATTACAGTATTTAATCTTATTCTTTCGTGCAAAAATCATTCCCCCTGATGAAGTGTGTGAAAGAGTTTTCATGATAATTAAATTATCAAAATTAAACGTTCCAGATTTCTGGTAAATATTAAATTCTGTAGTACTTCTCCTGAGTTACACTTGCTTGCTTAAGATTTAAATTCACCTAGACTCCTTTTTTACACCTTCTGATAAATCTGTAATTTTTTATTGTCATGATTATTAGATTTCCTTATTTAATACCTACTTTAAAGTAATAGCAAAGAAACCCTAATTCAATAAATATATCTGAATTTCACCACTATTCTACTCATTTTATTTATTTTGGCTCTTATTTATATATATATATATGTAATATCGTGGCAGTCGGACACATGAGTGGAGCTTGACAATAGTTGAGAGCGGAATCTGAACACCCGTGCGGCTTACTTAGACTATTCGGGTCTAGTCCAGGTTCCGCAACTATCCGGGGCAACACCTCATGGGCCCTATAAGGGCATACATTAATCCTGTATACATGCTTACATAGTTCATAATATATCCTTACATAGTTTATAATTATCCTTACATAGTGCTTAATATATGCTTACATAATTCATAATATCTGCTTACATAGTTCATAGTGTAAGGATCCTAAGTTTTACCTAACGTTTATTTTATTTTAAAACTTTACTATCTTTCTTATTTTTCACTTCTGGCCAGAATTAAATGCCTTAACTTGTTTATGCAAATTGTACTTGCTAACGCCCAAGTATTTAAGTTGTGGCTTTTTGCCAAGAGTCAGAGAGAGAGAGGGGAAGTGAGCCGCCTTGCCACTGCATTTTTACGAGTTGTTGCTTGCCTCTAAGGACAGAAGTTTAGTCCTCTTGCTATTTACAAACTATTGTAGTTTCAGCAGTTTGCGTACTACCTACGTAACCTTTTAAAAAGACTAGTCTTAGTGTTAGGCATTTGTATACTAATTCAAAGTTAGCTTTTAGTTAGAGTTTTAGTTAGTATTTTTATATTTTTACGTTCAGACCACAAGTGGTTGGTCTCTGTATCCCGAAGTACGGGAGCACCTGTAAATAAATAGAGAATAAAGGGTTCAGTATACCCTTCCTGCTTGTGTCGTCTATTCCACACATACTGGAACATAGCTTGAGTAAGCTCCCTGTTCCTATTTAGGACACATCATGTTTTCAAAGCAAGTCAAAAGACATACAAATCCTGACAATAGTACATGCTTATATACAGAAGTATATAAGAATATATACTTCTGTATTATAATACAGAAGTATATATTATATATGAAGTAGTTCATAATATCTACATATATCTTTCATAATACGTGCTTACATAGTTCATACATACACATGCTTACATAGTTCATACATACACATGCTTACATAGTTCATAATATATTGAGCCTGTTACATGATCCATACATAATTCATAATAATTTTCATTGGCCATAATACATACATGTTTCATAATATATACTGACTGATTGACTGGGATTTATTCCACACTTCACAAATCTGTTCCCAATTCCTCCACTTTCTGCCTTATCTTGCATATTTTGCTGGGAAATGCTGGGAAGCTGCGCATGCCACTGTGCGGTTAGAGGGCATTGTGTCAGGTAATGATCTGGTTTACCAATGGCTCCACAGACACAACTTTCGGTATTTGCAATTCCTCGCTCATAGTAATAGGAGGGGAAAGGCCCGTGCCGCGTCACAAATCTCGTTATTTGTGGGGATGACTCAAGACGATCGAGCGAAACTTTATGGTAGTATTCATAGGTCCTCCTGTTTTCTTCGGTAGTGTCCCATTCCCATTGCCACTGGTGCTGAGCTGCTATCCTTGTCACTTTTTTAAGGTGAGACCACGGGTCACATCAGAATTCCGGACATTGTTGTGGCTGAATGTAATCCAACGACGAAACAGAAGAATTTATAGCTCCACATCTTTATTCAGTTCAAACGGCTGATCATTATTCCTTACTAAATAAGATTAACTTTAAATTTACACACGTCTTATTATTCGAACAAAGGTAGACGGATGGGAACAGCGGCAGCAAAGGAGAAAAGCAGTTTCTGACGCAAAATAGCGCGAGCTCTTCATTTATAGGAGCGGTTACGTAATATGCTCGAATGTTCTCGAAAATACTGGTTTAGGGGGAAGATCCTGAAATTGAGGAAAGTTAATTAGAGGTTGCCTGTTCGCGTAGAGCAAAGCCATCGTATTTTTTATATTTTACATACATACATATATATATATATATATGTATGTATTACAATTCTTTTGAAAACAAAACACAAACATGGCTAGTTATTTTCGCGCATTAAGCTGCAGAAAAATTATCTTTAAAGACGTAGAAGTAAAAATTTAGAATTAATATTTCCCAAAGACCAGAAATTGAAATTCACATTTTATAAATTTCAAATAATCATAGAAATTCAATCATAAATTTAAGCTTGTTTGAAATGTTTTAGTTTTGAAATTTTTGAATTCATTGTTGCATTTCTATGATTATTTGAAATTTATTAATTATGAATTTCAATTTCTGGTCTTTGTGAAATATTAGTTCTAAATGTCTTAATTTATGTCTTTATACATACATACATATATATATATATATATATAATGTGGTGATTAGACAGGAAACTGTTAAAGATGGGATGTTTATCTGCGTGTTAATTACTTAGAGAAGCTTTAATGTGTAGCTTTAGAGATAATATTCACAGACAGACGTGGCAAAATTCACTACAATTTTATTGCCAAATAAAGCATTTCCATAGACACAATATTGATTCACATATTTTTATTATGGGTCGATATACATTCCACAGTTTATAAGCTTACATCTTTTTAGGCAAATGAAGACAGCGGAGAGGAAATAATACATGGCTAGTGGAAACTATTCATGGTTAGTAGAAGCAGGGAGAAGCTGGTAAAGGAGAGAACAAAGGTAGTAGTGGTATTTATATTAAAAATTTCCTTTAATTCATTTGAACAAGAGCTGTCGCACTGCAGCATGATTACATAAACACGAAATGATTAAATTTTCAGATCACGCAACAATGGAGCTCTTTATATTCCATGAAGGGTCGTAGCCAAATGAAAATCAGGAATTCAAAGGATAAATTAAAGTTTATAATTTTGTGTTGCATAATTTTTATCTTTCATATCCCTCACCTTCAAAAAGAAAAAAATTTGGCGCTAGAAAAGACAATTTAGAAAAAAAAAAAAAAGCATTAGAGCGTTAACAAAATAAGAGAAATAAAATTTTGAGGGAAAATCACAAAATTTTGAATATAACATTTTTAACCGACGAATGCAAAATTAAGCGTTCCACGGAAATTCTCATTCCATTTTTAAAATTTTCAAAGAATAATTAGAAAAGTTCACAGTTCTTGAAAATCTTTTCTTGAAAATAATGTAATTTTAACAGTCCTTGTAATGAAACTCTTTTTGGAGAAACTATTGTATTCAATATAAAACAAAAACTTTTTTATTGCAAAGCAATATAAAATGAACTTTAGACATTAATAAAATAGAAAGCTATCAAAATAATATACGATGTCAAAACAGCTTTGGTAAAAATGGGTAGGTCCTCGCAAAGCGAATCAGCATAATTGCTTGCTGATGAATGTGGAATACTTATATACAGTAGAAAACAAAAACCTCTATTCTTTATGCTTTGTAACTGGCTTTTAGCATATAAATGGTTAAAAGTTATAACGTATTTCCTCTTTTCTTTCCTCATGCCTTCGTGGTGTAACTGGAAGCATATTCGACCCGTATTTGGAGTTTTTCGAAAACACAAAAACGTCAAAACTACGGAAAACATCAAAAACATCGAAAAAAATTAGACGAAAATATCAAAATATTCTAGACGACACTGCGAGTGGCGCTCGAATTAAAAGTTGGTGGACGATAATTGGTCACCACCAGAACTTTGCGACTTGGATGCCTTAATCCCTAGTTAGGGTATGTTAGGTATTTTCTCTCTCCTTTCCGTTATGCCTTCGGGATGTAACTGGAAGCATTATAAAATATTTCTCCCGCCTTCGTGGTGTGGTGGTCTGCACGCTGGGTTCCAGAGGTCCGCGGTTCGATTCCCGGAGAAGGCGTTGCTAATTTTTCAATCTCTCTTGCTTTAAAAAATAACCCAATGTCCCTGCTCGGGCGTCACTGTAGAGACATTAGGTGTTTTGTGTTTTTTTGGAAGCAGAAAAGATGAAAAATTAGCAAAGCTCTCGCAGGGAATCGAATTTAGGGATCCAATTGCCAAATCCTGAGTGTGGAGAATCATCATCTTACACACTTTCTTTCTGTTCGAGTGCCACTGTAGAGACATTAGGTATTTGGAAGCAGGAGAGATGAAATAATGAACAACTGCCTTCACCGGGAAGCATATAAGCATTCTGTACCGCGCCACGCGCATAGGGAAAATCCGAACTTGTGATTGGATATACTTTTCTATGGCATAATTTTCTTTTGGCGTAATGACGTTTTAGGTGGAATTCTTATAGTTTTGATTTCGTTGAATGACGCGCATGAGTTATACGGAAGCATGAAAATTATCATTTGTATTATTTGAATAATAAATGCCTGACGAAAAAATTGACATGCAGCCTTCTGCAGGTGGCATCCTGTTTATGGAAAAATAAAATTATAAAATCCTTTAAAGATTCTGTTAATACCAGAAGCAATCTTAAATGCTTAGATTATATAAATAAATTTAATGCAAAAATATAACACATTGGATCACACGGCGATCTCGACTCAAATGTTAAGGCATATGTGTCAGTAAGTATATTATTATTGAAATTTTGTTGCGTTCTGTTCCTTTCACATTGGAAAAAATATTTCTTTTGCAACTGCATATGTTGTTTCCATGTTAATGCCCATGTCTTTCACATTTTATTCTGTTGCCTTAAATGAAAGAAAAAGGCGCATTCAGTATATTCGCTGAATACACATGTATGAAAAAGAAATTTCCCTCTCTGATAAACACTATTTTTATACAAAGGTACAAAAGATTTCACGCGTTAAAAAATAGGCAATGTTCATTAAGCTGCAGAAAAGCAATAGCTGCATTATAACAATATTCAGCATTACAGTTTTCAAATTTTTATATTAACTTACAAAAGCATAATTTGTATTACATTTTTCTATACTAGTTTTTTAAAATTATTTAATTTATTTTTCATTCTTAAAACAATTATCACATTCTTAGAAATAATACCAAATATTAGCATAAATTCAAAAGTATAATTATTTAACTTAAAAATCTTCCCTAAAATAAGAAGCTTTCCTTGCTTTACTAAATCAAATTATTAGTACTCAGTTTTCTAATACCATAAAATTTCACTCTGATATTTTCATAAAACAGTGAAACAGTCTTTAATTCCAATATAGTAAGAAAAAATATAAATTTTCAATGCAAAAGCGATTATGGAAAAGCAAATATAGAGGTAATTTTCTAGTACACTTCAAGCACAGTTTTCGATATTGCACCTGTTAAAAATAACGTGACTAATTTATTCCGGGAAGAGGCGAGGAGACAAAACATCTAGCAGACAGCAAATGCGGTAGCTGTTAATATTCTAATTGACCTTCAAATCGCTTATCCACAAACGTTTTTTAGGCAGTCACTGTTGGCAATTTAGAAACATTTCGGTGAAGAAAGGATTTCCCGACTTGCGATATTCATCCTGCATGACTCATTGCAATAGAGTGATTAGATAGGTAACCTGTTAAAAGATGAGATGTTTATCTGCTTCGTAATTACTTGAAGAGACTTTAATGCCCAGATGTAAGGATGAAATTCACAGACAAACGTGGCCGAATTCAGCACATTGGGATTATATATAACAGAAATTATGTGAATCAAAATTGTAACCTAAATCAGCATTACAGCCCCTTAATTCCTCATTTTAATTTGGGTACTTCCCTCTCTTTTCTAAAAATAGTAATAACATTTCCTGAACTGCCTCACTTCTAGACTAATTCTATCATATGAAGTTTACATAACGACGATGACGTAGCTAATTTTGGAACTTAAACCGAAACATTTCTCTTAATAAGACCTCATATTGCAAAACTACGGACTTCCTTTCCATAACTCGACCTAGACAGATTGCTGTTTCTTTTCCTACCTCAAACCTATCAAAAATGTAAATAGTTTGAAATAGGCACTGCTAAAGTGAAGTGTGGCCGTAAATGTCGGTTGAAATAAAAATGATAATTTAAACTGCCTTGGCTGCCAGTTCATTATGGATAAACATCTCAACATATAGGCTAGGCTAACAATATTTCTACATTTTATACATATTATTCCGTTATTTTCTTCCTGCACGTTCGTACGGGGTTCGTAGATTTGGAGTGAATAACGAAGTATCGAAACACACTTTATTTACCAATATTAATCAGATAGCTCTAAAATCACTTTTACAGTCGTCGAACTATTATAAACACGCTGACAAGTTCAGCGACACAGCCTTCACACAGTCAAGCATTAACGGTGAAGACAGCTTCACTGCAAAGCACCCGAGTACAGCTCCCAACTCTGCTTGGTCGTTCTCGGAACTCCACGTACTCTCGAGACTCTTCACTCGACGTACTCGACGATACGCAAGAGTGTAGCTCTCGACTCAGCACAGTCTAAGACAAAACTCGACGATGTACTAATTCGCGATGCACTAGAAGACTCTCTCGATGCACTCGACGGCCAACTCGGTGCTAGACTTCGAGACACTCTCTCAATGACTGAACGAGGCACACACACTGACTGCGGAGCAGCAGGGTTTATATAGCTTTCGGCTTGTGTTCGAGAACTTTCTGGGGTAAACTGGTAAGAATTCGTTCCAGAAGGTGCTCCATCCGTCCATGGTATATCGCCAATTTTGTCGCTAAATGGGAGATTTCTCGCCAGATGTGGCAACCCTACCTTCCTTGGCCATTTTATGGTAACCTTAAAACTGCTTTGCGGGGAAGCTATCTTATCGCGCCTGGACATTTCGTAACAATATGTTTCAAAAAATAAAAATTTTTGCGTATCTTTCCTGAAAAAAAAAAAATGAAAAATTTTTCATTAAACTTTTTTTATAATTTTTTATAATAAAAATGTTTGCGTATCTTTTCTGAAAAAAATATGGAAAATTTAAAAAACATATAAATATTGATGTTGTTATGACTTATCTCACTTCATCACTATCAACACCTGGAAATCTAACAGTCCCTATAAAGTGTTAAGATATCTTCTAGTTTATCATTTAATGAGGAATGTTATTAATGAGGAAATTTTCTTTCCGCAGTTGCTTTTTTATACAAATCAGGAAATGAATATATCTTACGACATTTTCCATTTCATAAGTAGACCAGGCAATAATATTAGATTGCAATAACAGACGTAGGAATCCGGAACACTTGTCCAAATGTAAAAGGATTTAAATCTGTCTTATGGCGTGACAGCTGTTTCCATTGTGAAAGGAACTGTTTCCTAAATTCAATACAAGACGTCTAAGAGAAATTAGCGCTTCCGGTACTTCTAAGGGAAATGAGATTTGACACATACTGTGTCGATTTTAAGCTAATTATGAAAGAGAATCTCTTCTGTCAGCCAGCCGCAGTTCTACTTGCAAGCGTGATATTCATGCTTTGGGACTTGATTCCCTTTCATCCGATTACGTCACGCTTCAGCGTGGACAGAAAGCGGTCGAGATGTCGACGTTATCTTTCAACTTATCCAAACACATCACAGGATGACGGGTAGATACTTAATCTCTTTTGGCGTAAAGTGTTTTATTGCCTCAATTATTAATATTCAGATTATTGTTTGGAGAAGGAGAAAAACTGAACGAACGCAAGAAGAATATGATTATTTTTATTGTTAAAAAAGGAAGTTGTGATAAGCATGAGTTAGTTAAATAAATAAAAAAGGGAAAAAAAGGAAAAAAAATC